TCAAGGACCCGAAGCGATGTTGGAAGGTTCAAACCACAATTTGAGTTAGCAAACGGTCTCTAATTTTAACGAGCTTATACTCGAATCGAACGGCTCGACGAGACAAATCCAACGAGCTCAATATCGCTGAATTCTGACATCACTAAGGCCTTCAAATGTCCAACGAATGGTGCATGATCGAAGGGTTCAATATCAACCGTCCATTCGACCACTCCCTATTCGCCCATGATCTCACACCTATTTACAAGCCATGCCACTCCAGAAAAACTATAAATAGAGCCCTCATTCTTCACAAGAGGACTCAAGTGAGAAGAGAGAGAAGAAGAGAAGAGAAGAAGGGGAAAGGGAGAATCATCTCCTCGACCACCGCCGGAGTTCTCTCCGCCGCCCGAATACGCCGGAACTCTACCGGATTTTCAGGAAACGCCTGAATTCTGCATAACTTTATAAATTTGCTTCAAGTTAGAAGAAAAGAATTGTAATCGGATCGTTTTGACTTGTGGGATGAATCAATTTCTTGTAATTTACAAAACACTAGTGGAACTTTTCAGCTGGGCGTGGCCCCGTGGTTTTTTCCCTCTTTCGGGTTTTCCACATAAAAATCATAGTGTTCATTTTCTTTTTTGTTTGTGTGATGAATATTTGTGCAACGCTTAGACGTGAATTTGTTAACTCTACCGCCATGTATATTCTAGCCCGCAACAGTTTGGCGCCGTCTGTGGGAAAACTATCCCACTACTTCAAGTATTACTACGATGATCAACATACGTAGTAGTCGTATCGTTGGAGCTTCTCGCTCCAACTCTCGTCAGTCCAAAAATCTGTCTATTAACCATAGACGCCCGATGTCTGCTTCTTTTCATTCTGGGGGGCAGAATACTGCCGAAGAAGGGACCTCGAAACCTTCTTTAGAAGAAAGAATCCGGAAGATGGAAGAATCTCAGAACGAGATCCTTCAACTCCTGCGAGAGAATCGGCAATCGGCATTGGCACAATGGGAGGAAGTTTTTCTCCCTCAAGATCCACCACGGGTTGAAGATGTCCAATTCGAACATCTTCAAGTAAAAGTTCATCTCCCTACACCTAAAAGATTTCCTCAGTCTCGACAGGATAATGAACTTGCCGATACAACAAGTTCTACACATCCTCCGCCCTCAACTCGGCAACCTCACACTCTCTCGAATCTCCCAGAAGACTCTGCCCAACCACACGCTGCGGAGCTCCCTCACGATGCCCTGCGCCATGAACTACGAAAGTTGGTAAGGGAAGAATTCCCCCAAGGGGATGCGAGACAAACTCTCCAACAGAGAGACTTTTAGAAGTCATCACCTCTAACCGAGGCCATACTACATCATCCCATTCCAGCTAGATTTAAAGTACCCAGCATTGAGTCTTACGACGGAACATCTGACCCATATGAGCACATCGACCACTACAGAACCATCATGCATATTCAGCGAACCATAGACGCCCTTCTCTGCCAAGTCTTTCCTGCCACCCTAAAAGGGAAGGCTCGAACGTGGTTATATTCGCTTCCGTCCGGAACGATCCCCTCATTTGTGAAATTGGCCAAGGCCTTTGCCAAGCAATTCGTAGCCAACCGTAGAATAGCAAAAGATTCTTCCCATCTCTCCGGAATCCGTTAGAATGAAGAAGAATCATTGATGGAGTATTTTCAATGATTTTTCACTGAAGCTCGACAAATCCCAGGAGTGGATTCTGAACTATTGAGAGGAGTCTTCCTTTGAGGCCTTCGCCCTGGCCCTTTCTATTCGGCTCTCATGCGAGACACCGTTCATTCATATGCCGATTTAATCCATTGCGTGGAGGTACAAATCTCTGCAGATGAGGCCATAAACGCTCATAGAAAGCAGTTTGAGCAAACTAGCGGGAAGCACAAGATTGCACCTGGAGCGAAAAATTCATCCACAACGAAAGAAGCAAGAGAAAAACAATCTGCCACTCAGGCCTCCATTGCCACGATAAGAACCTTGACAGGAGAAAGAGTACACTCCTCTCAATACGACTCGAGCAAATGTGTTAATGGCTGTTCGGGATCAACATACGGTGAAATGGATACATCCTTTGAGGTCGAACACAGGAAATAAGGATCAATACTGCCACTTTCATCGAAGTTGCGACCACACTACCGAAGCTTGTAGACAACTGAAGGAGGAGATTGAAAGGCTTATCCGCCAGGGTTATCTTCGACAGTTCATTCGGGATTCTTTTGCCCGAGAGAAAACTCACCCCATTGGGGGGCAAAATCATCAACAGAGGCCGCAAATGAATAATCGAGTAGCAGTTGGTGAGATTGAGACAATCGCCGGATGCCCTTTACTATCTGATAAAGTCTTCTTGGCTGTAGATGAAATCCCAACTCCGAAAAGACTCATGTAGATCACTCCATCACCTTTGATGATTCCGACTTAGAAGGAGTAAAAATCTCTCATTATGACCCGCTTGTTATTAATGCGGGAATAGGTGATCCGTGTTACAATGTTAAGAGAATTCTTATGGATAACGGTAGCTCTGTAGATATCCTGTTCTACTCTACCTTCCTCAATTTAGGTCTCGCCAAAGAGAAGCTTCAACCTGCAGCATGTCCTTTATATGGATTTGATAATCGACCTATGCGAGTATAAGGGATAATCAGTCTCCTAGTTGTACTTGGAGAATTCCCCCGGCAATCTACGCACTCTGTCCAGTTCATCGTTGTAAAATTTGAATAAGCTTACAACGCTATCTTTGGGAGACCACTCTAGTCAATTTTTGGGATTGTCACATCTATCCCTCACCTAAAACTAAAGTTCTATACTCCGACAGGAGTTAGTGTGGTATGCAGAGATCAACAAGCAGCATAAACATGCTATCTCAGGCAGGTCAAATCACGCCCGACTGATTCTCTAAATATTGAGGACTTTGATCTCCGGAATGAAGACATACCTCAGAGAGCTTCCCTAGTAGAAGAACTCATCACTATGTCTATCTTTGAAGAACATCCTTTAAAGACGGTGCAAATTGTGTCACTTCTCTCAGAAGGAGAAAAGAAAAAATTCACATATTTTCTATGAGAAAATCAGGATGTTTTTGCATGGAGCCCAGCGGATATGCCCGAGATTGACCCTGAAGTAATTATACACTCCCTTAAGGTCAATCCGGCGAGCAAACCAATCATCCAGAAGAAATGGAATTTTGTACCAGATCATCAGTAGGCGATTGAACAAGAAGTGGATAAACTCTTAGAAGCCGGATTCATTCGAGTTGGCTGACAAATGTTGTCATGGTTAGAAAGGGGAGTGGAGCATGGAGAATGTGCATAGACTATACAGATCTCAACAAAGCCTGCCTAAAAGATAGCTTTTCTCTTTCTCATATCGACCAGTTAGTCGATACCACCTCCGGACATCAGATGTTGAGTTTCATGGATGCCTACTCTGGTTACAACCAAATCAAGATGAATCCGATTGATGAAGAAGTGACAGCATTTCAAACAGACAGAGAGTTGTATTATTACCGGGTGATGCCCTTTGGGCTCAAAAATGCTGGAGCAACTTATCAATGCCTAATGAATAAGGTTTTCAAAATCCTTATTGGGCGTAATATGGAAGTGTACGTGGATGACATGTTGGTAAAAAGTCTCAAAAAATCTCAGCATATCTCTGACATGGAGCAATGCTTCCATTTATTGAGACGTTACAATATGCGCCTCAAGCCCGCCAAATACGCCTTCAGCGTCGCTTCTGGAAAATTTCTGAGCTTTATGGTAACCCACAGAGGGATCGAAGCCAATCCCGAAAAGATCAAGGCGTTAAGAGATATGGTGCCACCTAAGAGCATCAAGGAAGTCCAAAGAATGAATGGGAGGATTGCAGCATTGTCACGTTTCTTGACGCGCTCGGGAGACAAGTAACTTCCTTTCTTCAAAGTGCTCAGAGGTGCTCGCAGCTCCGGTTTCCAATGGATAGATGAATGCCAAGAAGCCTTCGAACAGCTACGAAAGTATATTTGGCTTCCCTGCTGCTACTTTCTAAACCAACACTTGGAGAGAAGTTGTATTTATACATAACTGTTTCGGCCCAAGCCATCAGTTCAGTCTTGGTACGATAAGAAAATGCTGTACAACGCCCCATCTACTATGTCCGTAAAATCCTATCTGAAACAAGGGGCATTATTCCTTAGCAGATAAGACAACATTGACACTAGTTTATTCTGCCAAAAAATTATGTCCTTACTTTCAAGCCCACTCAATTGGGGTCTATACGAATCTGCTGCTGAAAAGTATTCTACAAAAATCAGAAGCATCGGGTAGGCTCGTAAAATGGTCTGTAGAACTGGGAGAATTTGACATTCACTACTTTTTTAGACCTGATATCAAATCTCAAGCACTTGCAGATTTTGTGGTTGAATGCACCATCCCAGTATCCGATGTCCAATCAAATACTTTGTCTTCTCTACCATGTTGGACATTATATGTTGATGGATCTTCTTGAAGTTCTGGCACTGCGGCCGAAATTATGTTAATTTCCCCGCAGAAGACTACTCTTGAGTATGGGCTCTGACTCAATTTTCTGACAACAAACAACATGGCAGAATATGAAGCTCTTATCGCTGGATTAAGATTAGCAGTTGATTGTGAGGTGCAGAACCTAGTAGTCCATACTGATTCACAACTAGTCGCTTCTCAGGTGGATGGAGAATTTGATATCCACAATTCGCAACTGGCCTAATATTGCAATATTGTGAAACTGCTCATGGCCCGAATAGGAGAATATCATATCGTACATGTTCTCTGAGAGCAAAATACAAGAGCAGATGCTCTTTCAAAACTTGCAACATCAACGACAGGAGACAACTACAAGAAAAAGTATGTTGTGGAGATCCATTTTCTAAGTATTCATGGTCCATGGGTCATACAATCGATCGATGAAACAAGAGAGGTGTCTTGGATCAATCCCATATTCTCTTTTTTGCAAGATGGGGTACTGCTTGAAGAACCCATGGCTGTAACAAGACTTCGAAGACGAGCAGCAAATTTCACCATCATTAGTGGTGAGTTGTATAAGCGCGCTTTCACCGGATCATATCTGAAGTGTCTCCCACCTTCAGAAGCTGATTATGCACTCCTGAAAGTTCATTCAGGAGTGTGGCAAGCATCTGGTAGGAAGAGCTTTAGCTTATAAAATCATGAGGCAGGGATTCTATTGGCCTATAATGAAACAGGACGCACTTGAGTTTACACGAAAGTGTGAAAACTGTCAATTGCATTCCAATCTCACCCATACTCTAGCTCTGGAACTTGCATCACTTCAAAGCCTCTAGCTTTTACCCAGTGGGGAATTGACATAATGGGACCCTTTCCTATAGCCACAGGACAACAAAAATTCATCATCTTTGCCGTATATTACTTCACGAAGTGGGTGGAAGCAGAACCCTTAGCAAAAATTATCGAAGCAAATGCCAAACAATTCTTATGGAAGAATATAATTTGTCACTTCGGTATCCCAGCAAAGGTCATCACCGACAACGGAACTCAGTTTATTGGAAAAATCTTTACATCTTTCTGTAAAGATTTTCATATTCAACTCGTCCATACGGCTGTCACCCATCCTCAAACAAATGGGCAAACGAAGGTTACAAATCGAATAATTTTGAAGGGGATGAAGACACGCCTAGGGAAGGCTGGGGGGCAATGGGCTGAAAAAATCCCAAATGTCCTCTGGGCTTACCGCACCAAGGCTAGGACTCCTACAGGAGAGACTCTATTTAACCTCTGTTTCAGTAAAGAAGCAGTCATACCAGTGGATATCGGAGTCTCAAGCAATAGAGTTCAAAATTTTGACTTCAATAACAACGAGGAGAAGTTCAAGACAAATCTAGATCTCCTCCCTGAAGCAAGGGATGAAACCTCACTCAAGGTCGATGCATACCATCAACGGATCACTCGTCACTATAATCGGAGAGTTAAACCTCAAACCATTTTCGTTGGGGTCTTAGTTCTTCGAAGCATCGAAGCTGCTGGAAAAGGCCCTCAGCGTAATAAGCTCTCCCCTCTATAGTAAGGTCCTTACCTGGTAGTGGCTATGGTCAAGCATGGGACTTTCAAATTGAAAGATGCTTCCCCGAACTTGGAATGTGGGCAACCTTCGCAAGTACTATTAGTAAAAGTTGATGTGCTATCTGTTTATTGTGATGTCATTTGTAGTGTTTGTCTTGCTTTGTAGCTATGCTTTGTATCTTTTAAGCTTTTCACACGCTCTTTGTATGTTGATTATAGAAGAACACTTCTTGTTGTATCCCTAAGTTTACTAGGGAATTGTCGTACTATTTTATATAATACAGCAATGTGATGTTCACCTTATCGCAATACTATCTCTCCTCAAATTTTTTCCCTTAATTCAAAAAATATACAACTAATGTTGTATCTCAATCAGTAGGTAACCAATCCCAGGGGGATCAGGTCCGACCTCTTCCACACAGGTTAAAATCATCAAGAAAATGCTTGATTAACAACCTCGGATAGGTCAAGATATCCAAGAAAGATATCTCTCATATTTGTACAAGTCAAAGAGACGACCATAATGATTGAGTCAATCTCATATACTTATGAAAAAGAGAAACATCTTATATATATATATATATATATATAACTCACAAACATCAAGTATATCATTTAAAAACATCATACAAACACACGAATAATCATCACAAATAAAATAAAAGGAATACAGATAATGTCAGAATATTTCTACAGAATCTCAAGGTCATCATCGTCCTCCTCCAAAGAAAAAATATGTTGCAAATCACTCTTTAATTCTTCACCGTCAGTGTCTGGAGAAGGATCACCAGAAGCCTGGCTCAGAGTCAACCCCTCTATATCCCCTCCGTTCTTACACTGCACTACACGAACGCCCTTTATGAAGCCTTTAATGAAGCCATCTTCCATAAGCTCTGCTTCTAAAGCCTTCACCTCTACATCATAAAAATGATCGCGAGCTTCCTGAACTTGATCCTCAACAATTATCTTAAAGGCGTAAGATTTTTTAAACTTTTCTATGGCTGCAGACGGTGACAGTTGAGCTACCTTCTCCGACAACTTATTCAGGAGATTCTTATTCTCAGCCTCAAGGATTTGTATATCTTTCAGTTATTGATTGTTTTTTGCCTCTGTCTCCACCAACTGTATATGCAAACGATCCAACTGTTCATTCTGAGAAGAGGCTGAAGCGATCTTGTTCTCCAATTCTGTTCTGCATTGTTCAAGTTGATCCTCCACCGTCTCCATCTCCTTCACTCTGCCATCATATTTCTTCTTGTATTCCCCCTGAAGGTATTTGACATTCACAAATTCATCGTTCCAGTCATCCAAAATTTTGTTCACCTCAAGGAACTATTCAAAAAAGAATCAACAAGTGAAAAGTGTATCCCTGAAAATGTGTATGCAAATACAAGGGAAATGGAGAGAGGGTGAACTCACCAACTCCTCGGCTCATCGACGACCAATGCACTTATGTTTCAGAACATCTTCTAGAATGTATATCCTGGACTGAGAAAGGCGATGACCCTTGCCGGCAACTGCCAAAACTTCATCCGACTTCTTCTTCTTAGGCGCCTGTAAATCTCCCTCGCCCTTAGGTCGCTTGGATTGACTTTTTTGGGTTTCCGAAACTTTCACGGATTTCTTCAACATCTGTGCATGCGACCTCCCTACATCTCCCTTTATAAGAAGAAGTTATTATTGTAGCACACTACCATGAGTTAATGAAAAAAACTTCTTCAGTGATCTCTTGTATTGCTCTGCTTTCTAACCTCTTGTGCAGGTTTTCTCTCAAGGCATCAAGTCAACATGGTATCAGAGCTTTTCGGTTAACACCATCAAGCTCAATGGATTCTTCAGCTTCTTCTTTATCTCCTTCCGCAGCGACTCCAACAGCCACGACTCAGGCTTCTATGAACACCATGGAAATTCTGGCACAACTCAAATTTCTGATGATGAAAGTCAAGTCAGTTACCAATACCCAGCTCACTGCTGAATGACCTATGCGCAATCTTGGCTCTATTTCTACATTACACGACATTTTGTAACAATGGTCTTCATTTATCTCAATATACGTATGCTTCTGAGCTTCTCCAAAAGTCGGGTATGAAAGAATCCAAACCTGTATTGACGCCATTGCCGACTAAATTACCAGCTATCACTGCCTCCTCCGAACTGTTTGACAAACCAGAGGTCTACAGACAATTAGTAGGATCATTGCAGTACCTTACAATTACACGGCCTGATCTGTCATTCGCTGTAAATCTTCTTTGCCAACAAATGCATCTACCTTACTTAGTCCATTACCAATTACTTAAGCGTGTTCCTCGCTATTTAGCTAGTACGATTCATCTTGGACTACCGATCATACGTTCCTCATTTGATCTCCACACCTATTCTGATTATGATTGGGCTGCTGACCTTACCAATCGGAGATCTATAACATGCTATTGTGCCTTTCTTGGCCATAATTTAGTTTCATGGTGTGTAAAGAAGCAGACGACAGTTGCACGATCATCCACGGAGGCTGAATATAGAGCTCTTTCCACAGCCGCATCAGACATTGTTTAGCTTCGACGTCTTCTCCATGATTTCTCTATTCCTGTGACAACTCCAACTTTTCTTTTCTGTGACAATGTCTCCGCTCTTGCTCTCGTGAATAACCCTGTGTTTCATGCTCATACAAAGCATATTGAAGTGGATTACCATTTCATTCCTGATTGCATACAGCAACATCAGATTAATGTTCAACACATTTCGTCAGTCGATCAGCCAGCTGATCTTTTCACCAAACCATTTTCATCTACTTGGTTTCAGCTTTTATGTTCCAAGCTAACGGTTCAACAGAATCCGATTATCTTGAGAGGGGGAGATAAATAAGCTCCTTTACTTATTACAAGCCGGCTAGCTTATCCACTACTGGGTGCACTTTTTCAGCTTTTTGCAGTTGTGCAACATCCTGGCTGTCCACGTTTTCCACTAGCAGCCCATCACAGCCCTCCAACCATAACCGTTGAGTCATCTTCTTCCTTTATAAGAAGAAGTTATTACTGTAGCACACAACCATGAGTTAATGAAAAAAAACTTCTTCAGTAATCTCTTGTATTGCTATGCTTTCTAACCTCTTGCTCAGGTTTTCTCTCAAGGCTCAAGTCAACAAGATGGAGGAAAATAAGTAATGAGTACATTATTCATCTTAAGCATGTAAAGGGAGGATTTTTATAGAAAGCAATGAGAAAGAAAGTAAAGAAGATACATAATTACATTGTGGTAAGCCACGCCAGTAAGATGACTTGGATGGTGTTCTAACATGTACCGTCAAATTAAGCATCCATCGGGTGGATAGATAATTTGTGACGAAGAGTGTGAAATGAGTTATGGGAGAGAGGTTTTGTGAGGATGTCCACTATTTAATCCGTTGAGCTCATGTGAGAGATTGTTAGGGTGTCGGATTTAATATGATCACTGATAACATGGTAGTCGATTTCAATGTGCATAGTTCTAACATGGAAGACAGGTTGATTAGTTAGAGTGATAGTGGAAGTGTTGTCACAATACATTGTGGTGGGAGCTGTTTGAGGTGGTTATAATTCTACTACAAGACAACGAAGCCACAAGACGTTGGAGGTGGTCGAGGATAGAGATCGATATTCGACTTCGGTGGAGGATTTTACCCCTATTGTTTGCTTCTTTATGGACCACGATATGAGATTTGGTCTAAGAAGTGAGTAGAAACTAGTGAATGACTTCCAGTCTGTGAAATTTGCATCCCAGTCTACATCGACGTACGTCTGAATTTGAAGATCTCAGCTCGTAAGAGGTAGGCTAAAGTGGAACGTGCCTTTGATGTATCTTAAGAGATGTTTGAGAGCTTGATGCTCCTGAATAGTTGGGGCATCCATGTGTTGGCATATAGTATTTTTGGCAAAGGCGATGTCCGGCCTTGTAATCAAGAGATATTGAAGGGAGCTAGTTAGTTTGCAGTAGAGCTAAGGGTTGGTGTAAAGCTGATTGGAGGATTGGCAGGATGTTGATTTTGTTTTTATAGGAGTTGAAGATGGTTTGCAGGTTTTGAAGCTGGCTAGTTGTAGCTAATTTTCGGTATAGTGTTGTTGATGAAGGAAGAAACTAATCAGCATTTTTATTATTAAATAAAAATTATACTATATTTAATTGAAAATATTCATAGGAAACATATAATTAACTATGATATCATCATTTTCAAATGATTGATGATAAATGATATATTTTTTCCTTATGAAGATATATTATTTATCGTCATGGTTCATAATATAAAATTAATGATATCACATTTAGATTATCATAGCTAAATATTTGATCGAATATCATCTTAACCCTTCGGGGTCATATATAGTTCCTTCTTGAATTTAACTACGATATCAGGATGAAGCTTGCATTTTTGTATTCAAAACTCATTTGAGAATGATAATTTCACCTTTCGAGGTGATATATCAATCATAATGATGTCTTCGATTACATAACTGAAATTCTAAAAATCAAATTTTCCCAAAGACAATATAATCACAAATTGCTTTAAAATTTTCAACAAAGCTAGCAAAATAGTGGCACATCCCCGTGGGCGAGAAATCATTTCAGAATGAATCATATTAATACATTCAATTAGACATTTTGTTCTTTGTGAGCTTAAGTTATTCTTAAATTTATCAACTAGTGGGGAGAGGCGTAAATGTGAGAATAAGTTTAATATTAGTATTTTTTTCAACAAGATCAAGCGATGCAATTTCAAGCATAGAGACACTTAAGTATGGAATTCAAAAGAAACATTGAAATGGAGATACATTGATATGAAGATAGTTGTATAAGATTGAATGAGTTACACGTTAATTTAAACTTTGACTTATATCAAAAATATTTAATTAACATATAATGATTATTATTTCATATTTTAAGAAATATAAGCTAAATAATTTTTTGAATATATTTTGATAATAATATTCATCTTTGTTACATCCAGGAGTATTCGCGGCGGTAGAGAAATATAAAGTTTATCGTCTTAGCATTGTACGAAAATCCGGCACGCAATCAGATAAGAGAGAGGGTCTAGCATTTATGAGACACTAAGATTTTTACGTGAAAAACCATTGAAAAGGGGGAAAACCCACGGGGCCTTGCCCAGTTTGAATGAATCCACTAGTATTGCAGTCGATTACAAATGAGGCCCTTCCTTGGGAGAAGGCCTTAGCTTGATGTACATTTTATAGAGTACATTACATAATATGAATACAAAGAATCACAAATTGACATGTTCGTTTGGTAGGAGGACCGTAGTCGGCGGGCGACGGAGGTCGGAGGGCTTGTAGTCGGTGGGTGACGTAAGTTAGGAGGACCATAGTCGGCTGGCGACGGAGGTCGAAAAGATTGTAGTCGACGGGTGACGTAAGTCAGGAGGAACGTAGTCGGCGGGCGACAGAGGACAGAAAGACTGTAGTCGGCGTGCGATATGAGTCAGGAGAATCGTAGTCGGCGGGCGACGGAGGTCGGAAGACTGTAGTCTAAGGACGAAGATCAGAAGGACAGCGTCAGGTAGAAGTCCAACAATGGAAAGAAATCCATCTTCGCATAGAAGTCTAGCGAAGTCCGATAAACGGTAGAAGTCCGGCGTCGGGTAGAAACTTGGCGAAGAGTGAAGGTCAGACATCGGGTAGAAGTCTGACGTCTCTTGGTGGAAGAGAAGAAATCTGGCTTCACTTGGGCGGAGTTTCGGCATCAGGAGGGAACTCTGCTGTAAATTGGGAAGAATTTTTGCATTCCATGGAAGTTAGGCAGAATTCTGGCGTTCTCCTGAATATCCGGCAGAGTTTCGGTGTCTTCAGGCGGCGGGAAGAGCTCCGGCGGTGGTCAAGGAGGAGCTTCTTCCTTCTACTCCTTCTTCTCTTCTTCTTCTCACTCTTCACTTGAGTCCCATTTGTGTAGAATGAGGGCTTTATTTATAGTTTTTCTGGAGTAACATAGCCCGTAAATAGGCGTGAGATCATGGGCGAATTGGGAGTGGTTCGAATGGACGGCCGATATCGAATCTTTTGATCATGCACCATTCATTGGACATTTGAAGGCCTTAATGATGTTGGAATTCGGTGATCTTGGGCTCGTTGGATTTTTCTTGTCGAGCCGCCCGATTCGAGTATAAGCTCGTTAAAATCGGAGACCGTTTGTAACTCAAATTGTGGTTTGAACCTTCCAACAGCGCTTCAGGTCCTTGATTCGGACCCATTTGGACTCGGATTGGGTCGAAATTGGTGTCGTTGGATTCGTATTTTCGAGACGCTCAGTTTGACTATAAGCTCGCTAAAATCAAAGATCATATGCTCTCGAATTTAATTTTTGAAGTTTCCAAACTGATTTTGCCTCGAGATTCGTGCCCAATCAAGATAATTTCATGATGATGTATCAATCTTATTATTATTATTATTATTATTATTATTATTATTATTATTATTATTATTATTATTATTATTATTATTATTATTATATATAATTTTAATATTAACATAATATTAATTTTACACTAATTACATAATATATGTTAAACTAACTTATTAATTTACTAATTTAGATTTTTTTTATTTTATGATTTTTTTATTTTTGATTTTATTATTTTCTTATGATTTATAATTTCTCGCTTGTCATGCTTCATATGCCAGCAAATTCTACATTTCAATTTGGTTGTCGTCACCCCATAACTCATTCTGAATTCACATTTTCTCTTGTGCAAAGATTTAGACAATATTATAATAAATTTTAGAAATTTTTGGCATTCCGGATGCAATAATGAAGTAGATTTTTCAATTAAACAGAATTTGAATAATTTCATTACAATCTGAACACTCCAATCTTTAATTTGAGTGATATCTTGTCAACCAACAATAATTAATTATTGTCTCATTTTTTTGCATTGACCATGCAAATATGGAGATAAATAAGAGCTACTTAATTTCTTTTATCAATATAAATACCATAAAAATAATACTCTCAATCAAAATATTAATATATGCATTTATATTTTTCCCCAAAAATCATGTGCATTACTCGGGATAAATACATTCATAACATATCTATTATACCCTAAGTACAAAAGAATAGCTACTGATAGAAAGAAAACAGCTAACAGTAAACTTGAAGAATACTGATCAGCCTCACACTCTTGATCTTGTTCCTTGAACTAAAATCATTTAAATTGTATATAATGAGCTAAATAATCCAACAAGTCATAAAAACCTACAACGAAATTCAAAGCGCAATAAAAGAGAAATATGAAATTACTAGATGCGCCAAGAGGGGGGTGAATTGGATGATTAAAAACTTCTTTAATGAAAAGAAATATCTTTTTATGACTTTATGCGGAAGCGAATTTCATTCACAATAAAAAGATAGATAATCAATTTCATTCACGCAATAAATCGCAATAAAAAATATATGCAGAAATAAAGTGCAGAAAAAAATAAAGGAAAGAACACACCAATTTATAGTGGTTCGGTCAAAACATGACCTACGTCCACTCCCCGGAGGCACCCTCCGAGTATTACACTAAACCTTTAGTGACTACTCTCCTTTAGCTCCCACAGCTAGGCGGAGAAGCCCTTACACAATCACTTCCACCTTCCCCGGTGCGGAGGAGGATCCGGGTCCTTTGACACCAATAAGATCTTCTTCTTCCCAAAACTTCCTTCAAGAAGAACCTTGAATCCGATGGTACTGAGGTGCAAGCTCATCGGAGCAACCGTGTGATCTCCTTCACACTCCCTTGAAACCCCCTCCAAGGATCTTCTCCCTCTCTCAAACTTCATCCTTTTCTCTCTCCCTTTCAAGTCCTCTCTTCAAGTTTTTTCCAAAAGAATGAAGACACAATGGCTGCCAAAGACTCTTACAAAGTCTTATGATAGTGCTTAAATAGAGGGCTCAAAAAACCCTAAAAAACCTCAATTCATCTGTTACTATCGTATAGTACGGTTCTACAATCGTACAGTACGATCTTCATAAATAGACTTCGTCCTGGTACGAAGTGGTACAAACAGTTCAAAAATGTTCGTACAGTACGATACTAAATCGTACGGTACGATCCATGACAACACAGTTCATACAAGATGATAGCCAGGACGATAAAACATCGTCTCTGTTCATCGTATGGTACGATGTACATCGTACAGTCCGATGAGACAAAAAACAACTACTCGTCCGGGACGATTATAATTCGTCTCTGTTCATCGTATTATACGAATGGGTTCGTACAGTATGATGTTCAAATCATAATTAAGCCCGAATTTCTTGCACTGATCATGGGTTAAGTTAAGTAAGTATTTAAAAATAATCGTACAGTACGAACAAGTTCGTACAGTACGAGCGGCGGAAAACATCTTGCTTAAGTTAAAAAGGTTGTTAGGGTTTTGGCTTTGAACATATCTTACAGTACGAATATATTCGTACGGTACGATCTATTCACGGAATCGTCGTACAACCCTCTGATCGTATGGTACAAATTATCATCGTACAGTACGATCTACAGACAAGAAATTCTATTACATTCTACATTTAAAACCTCTCCCTCTGTATGTGTGCATGGTCAACAAGCTAACATACATCATTACAAGATATGACTCAATAAATAAAAATTACATACTCATTTAATACGACCAATTCTATGCAATCTTGAGCCTTGAATCTTCAAAGAATAGTGTATGATATACCTGAAATATTAGTCAATAAAGAAAGAAATATGCACTACAAATACTATGAGAAATAAGAGATTAATAAATATTATTTGTTATCATCAAAATCATAAACTTGGAAGCACGAGTTGTAACAAAATATACATGTCACCGATCAAATCCTAGTAGTAACATTAATATGATCATTGAATCAATGCAAAAATAGTTAAACTCACTTGTAAATAAGTAAAGTATGCAAAGTAATAATACAGTGCGATATGGAAGCCAATAAAGCAATATAGTGGGGAAATGAATAAACTAGTATGAGTGTTAAATCGATAAAGCAGTTGTCCTATCATTAGTATCAATTAGCAAAGAAAGCGTATAAAGCGATAAAAGCAAAGCATCGATAAATACTATCATAATCATATCAATATAGTAAAATTCTATAATAATATAAACATTCTATTGGGTTATTCTTTATCAATCTCAAATCAATATCTTAATCACATGCTCAGTTTATCACATACTTAGTATCAGTATAGTGAATCAGTAATATCAAATAGTATCAGTGTCTATATTGATAATAGTAACAATCAAGGGGTATGAGCAAAAAAAAAATACAGTAACTAAAAATTCATATAAGAATAATAAATACATACAATAATAAAAATAATACCTCAATAACTTACATTTCAGTAGTCACACTAAATAAGTAAGAAGTTCGGGCTTATCGATATTTTTCAAGTATCATATCAATACCAGTAAAACATTGCCCTAGTAAATAGAGCCATCACTTTTTGTCCATCAGCACAGTAATAATTTCTTTTAAATCTCAATTGTTCTATCATTATATTGGTTAACATCAAATCGTTGTATTTAAATGAAAGCCTATTAGCACATCATCCTATTTAGTCAATCAATCTTTAACCTATAGATCAATTAATCTTTATCAATTTATATACACATTATTATCATAATATTATAACATAAATAACAACTAGTTGTTACTCAATCACATATACATATTCATGATTAATACATTGTAGTAAATAAAGCATAATAGAGCTTAATTCATAAAGTGCTAAAAGATATGCAACAAAAATTCCTACTAAGTAGAAATTCACATTTTTAGAAGTTAACTAAATTACTATGGATCATATATAAGAACATTATGAAGCTTTAATTAAACTAAAGCACTATTTTTAGATATCAAAATAAAATTTTAAATTAATAAAAATCACAACTTTTTAAAATCACCTAGCAAAAAATTTTAAATAAATACTCTAAAATTTTAAAATCTAAATCTCTATAACATGCATATAAAAAGTTATGCAAAAAAACATTTACCAATAAAAAAATTATTCTCATTTTTTAATAATAAAAATACAAATTTGACAAGAAAAATACAAAAAAAAAATTAAAATATGACATAAGATAATGGTTCCATATAATGAGAAGATCAAATCTTGTAACAGAACAAAGAGACAAAAATCGTTTAACAACCTCAAAACCTAAGCTTCTCTTTTCTCTCTCCTCTAATTCCTCTTTAATTTCCCCATAAAATCCTCTATTAGCCAAAATTAGAAGAGAAAAGGCATTTTAATAACTTTAGTGGTTTAAGATATTTTTTATAATAAAATTATAATATAATATTAATATAATTATTAATTTAATCAATTTTTAGTATAAAATTCATATAAATCCTTTTGGGACTTCAAAAATTATTGAAAAAAATCCATAAAATAACTCATTTTATTTTAAATTTTTTTTATAAAATCGGTTTGAAAAATGAACACCTAACAATTTCAAAGTCGTTACTTGTACCGACAAATGTCATATTCTTAAGGATTTGGTCCAATACCTAAAAATTACATAACAATTAGTTATGTAAATCACTACAATATCTATGTTGTTATGAAAATAGTTTGTGATTTGGACTTAATAACTCTTGAAAAAATTTATTTAACTGGGTTAAAATGCAGGTTATTACAAGTCATAATATTAATATCTTCTTAAATGAGAAGCTGACATAATCATAAGACCACAAATCAAGTGACAATGAAATGCAAGGGATGAACTAAGCATAGTCATAACGGTTCTCCTCTTTATGGAAAATCTGATGAAATCTTGGGATGGAGGAGAAAATACTGTAAGGACTAGTAAAGTACTAAGGATGCATGTATAGGGTGGTGGTGTGACCTTAAAGGGAATGGATGAGATAGCATTGAAAAATTAGAGTGGCAATTGATCATGGACATGAAGGAGTACTTCATCTTGGAGACAAAGGTTGCACTACCTTGGGGAAAGATCTAATAAAATTGGGTTGGGTGATCTTTCTAATAGAGGCAAAACTAGTATGAATTTTTGAACACCTTAGCCTATCATAAAGAATTGTAACTACTTATAGGAGTTCCTAAAAATTTCTAAGATATGAAAGCTCAAAATTGAAGGTAAACTTATTGATTTGGAGAGGGCTTTTTATTATTTATTTAAAATATTTCTTTTGACCCAATAATCCAAAGTTTGATGACCATGCTCTTGAGTTTGCCTTTTCAAGCGAGACATGTTGGGGAGGCCCAGATAGTTGATAGTTTGAGATGTCTCTAAGATACAAACCAAACAGACATTTAATATTTTGATACAATGTGTTCAAGGTGGTGCCATGTCAAATTATTAATAATTGGATTTATAGAAACAATTTCATAATGAATCATCACTTAAACTAGGGTTTGCTAGAAAATGAAGTCTATGGGCTACAAGTTTTGTAGAATCCTCAAGAAAAGTCATTCAGAGCAAATAGCCCATAAAACAGTATCCACCAGAGATCATAAGAGCTTTAAAAAGTTGAAATAATGACAAATAAATTTCATCATAATAAGAAAACAGCCCATAAAATAGTTGCCACTAGAGACCATAGGTGCTTCAAAATGTTAAAATTATGGCAAATAAATATCATCATAGCAATCACTTCCTTTACACAAGCTTTGCAGCCACTCGCTCGTCTCCTTCTTGAGCCTAAGATCGGAAGTCTAGCAGAGTTTCAATGTAAATGGCGCCAAAGAAGGAGAAGGCTCCGCCTCCGGCTTCCAAGCCGGCGAAATCTGGCGGAGGAAAGCAGAAGAAGAAGAAGAAGAAGAAGTGAAGCGAGGGGAAACAAAAGGAGAAGGTGAACAATGCTGTTCTATTTGATCAGGCAAGCTATGATAAGATGCTTACAGAAGTTCCCAAGTATAAGTGATTACACCTTCTGTGTTATCTGATAGATTGAGGATTAATGGATCATTGGCTAGAAGGGCTATCAAAGATTTAATGGCGAGGGGTTCAATCAGGATGGTTTCTGCACACTCTGCCCAGCAAATTTATACAAGAGCTACCAACACCTAAACAATGTTCCATTTTTCTTAGCTGTTTATGATGATTATTTGTATTCTGTAATGAGGGATTTTCCTTTTAAGCATGTGTCTCACTACGGGAAAACACGTGATTACCGTCGAATTTTTCGGCGGAAAATTGTGTGCCGGTAATAATGGCGCAGGCAACAGCGGAATTGTTCGACGAAAATCTTGCGGCGCCATTTCCGGCGCAAAATACGCTGTAAAGTTACCGACGCCAGTTCCGCCGGACAATCCGACGGTATAGTAATGTCTGAACCATTTCCGTCGCACGTTACGGCGGAACATTTCCAGCGTACGTTACCGGCGGACATTGCGCCAGCGTATTTAAACTCAACGAAATATTACTGACGTAGCTTGCGTCGGAAATGATACCGGCGTCACCGGCGTCGGCACCGTCGGAAATTCCGCTGGTAAAATTTCGTCGTTGACACCGTCGGTAATTACCGGCGTATACTTTGCGTCGCAAGAGAAACCGTGGGGTTTCTATGTCACACATTGCGGCGTTTTATCCGCCGATAATGTCCGGCGCATAATGCGACGCTAATTACCGGCGCATATGGCGTCCGAATTAAGACGTTTTTAAACGTCGGCAACAATCCGTTTTTTCGCCAGTAATGCGTCGGAAACTGCGCCGGAGAAATTTCCGGCGCATATCCTGCGCCGGAAATAAATTATCGACACGACTTAAATCGGCGGATAAATATACGCTGAAACATGCGTCGAAAACTATATTTTCCGTCGGATTTCTGATATTTCCGACGGATTTTGTCCGCCGGTAATAAGGGGTTTTCCTGTAGTGTCTGTTGCTACAGTAGTTACCATTGAAGTCTTATCTGCTGTGAGGATTTAAAAAAAATTAAAAAATTAAAAAAAAAATCATCATAGCAAGCTATATCGATGTGATAAAAAAAATCAAAAGAAAAGAGTGCTTGAACTAATTATTTTTTTCTATGCCAATTTTGCTAGTTTATGCCTTCGCACGCCTCAAAATGGGGCATTTTCGAAGTGTATAAATTCATTGCAAAGTGGTGGTCCTTTTAGCTCATTTTACTTTTGAAATAGCTAATTTAATCAAATTTGTGGCTTGTTCAGTCTATTTACATTGATTAGGGATTTATTATTTTATTCAAAAAGTATGCATGATGAAATAAGGATTTTTACATTCTTAATAGTTTCTCTTTATTTTTAGACTTAGTGAATTATAAGTTTAAAAATACTATGGGATTTGAAAAAAAAAATCAACAAAACTGCAACTTGAGGAAAACTTCAACATAGAACCTCTCAAGTCAAGCAACTAAGTCATTCATTGTTGGTTAAAATTTCTTCATAGATGTCTAATGTCTTTTTACTCTACCTTCAATAATTCAATGTTGGTAAGGAACGCCTTTATTAGATGGTTTGTTGATAACATCTTATTTATTACATAATAATACATTCTGATGATGTAGTATGAATGAACTATTGACTTATAGATGATCATTAGAGTTATTTATATAAACTTAAATTCATATTCATGCTTACTTTCATTTCTTCTTCTTACAACATAAGTAATATTAGTACATATAGCAACAGTTTCCAATAAAGAACCCTCACATATAGTGTAGGTAACAATAGGTCAATGACGGATTGAAATGGGTTATTTAGTACCATATTATTGCTATTGAAATCATATATATATAATAATAGCATCGTTCTTTTCCCCCTCTAATAACCGAGTCTTCTAATTTAAGTCAGCTTTAGTTCCATTTTCTTCTTTCTCTTTTGGTTCTTCTTCCTTCCCTTTCCCCTTGCAGGCTTCTTTTTCTTGCTTGTCTGCATTACAAAAAGTAAGTACATCTTTATTTTTATTATAACAAAAAAATAAAAATAAAAAAATAATATGAAAAGTTCTGTACAGTCAAAGTTCTTACCGATGAGCCAGGAGTAGATTTGGAATTGGGACTTGGTTTAGAATCCGAGTTAGACTTTGAGTCTGAACTAGATTTGGATGCCGAGTCAGATTTAGAATCTGACTTAGAATCCGAGTCGGATTTTGAGTCTTCATCGGATTTAGAATCCGAGTCAGATTTAGAATCACCAGATTTGTAACCAGTGACAAAAGCCAAATCATTATCATCTTTGATCGTATTATTGTCTTCATTCTTATTTTTATCTCCCCTTTTTTCTTTATCAACACCTTCAGCCATCTTCACTTCTTTGTTATCATCATCACCAACCTTGGCTTCCATTGAATTTGATTTCTCTACTTTCTCAATCACTTTCTTCTCTATATTATCCTTTATAGCCTCTTTTGCTTCAGGAGTATTTGTAGGGCTCACAGTAGGTTTTCCTTTCTCACCAGACTGAACAATTAAAATTAGTAACAATATAACTAGGAGCAAAATATTGAAGTCTCTCATGAATGAATAAAAACGTTGCTAGGTCTTAGACTTCTAAGAAATTGGAACACTTACATGTAAACAATTTAATTATCACTTAAAAAAAATATATATAAAACTGTTCACATAGGCGATAAAAAAGTTGCTAAACCTTGGCCTTCAGTCCAGCCACATTCATATGGAAGAGATGACAAGAATTTGAGGTAATAGGATGAGTGAACAATGGTGCCTTGTTGGGTATGAATGAGCTACTTGGTGAAAGCTAATGATGAGCAAACAAAAAGTTAGAAGGCCGAGCAAAATCAACAATGAGCCTTATTCAACGGTTATGTTCGGCTCTTTTATCATTTTTTTATCTCAACTGAATTCAACATAAACTAAAGAACACAATCGCATTTTTATTGCCTATAAATTTAGGTTTCATTTGAGACAGGTTTCTTATTATTCTTTAAATTAGTTTTTTTTTACAAAAAAAATTGAAATAGCTTTCTCACTATTTTATATTTCAGTTTACAACTATAATTCTATTTGACTATTAATTTTTAAAAATTATTGTGATAGAAAGCTGCTATTTACAAAAAAAATTATTAATATGTGTTAGCTTTAAGAAAAGAGCTGTTCGGTTTAGAAAAAAATCATAAATTTATAGCATTCACAGCAGTTTTCAAACGCAGCTATTAAAGTAGATTAAACATATAAAAAAACAAATTATAAAGATAACCAAAAATTAAATTCAATTTGATCATTGAGGTATAAAAAGCCAATCGATATATTTTATGAGCATGCTTTTGTAACCACCCTATTATTTTGATTTGGGGCAAAGCCGACCCGCTCTTGCGAGGTGGCCAAAATTTTAAATAATTAAATAATAATAATAATTAAATGAATAAAGATACATAAAATTAAGGCCTCTAAGAAAAAAATATAAGCAGGTAGCATATACAATTACCAAATTCCTAAGAAAAAAAATATATCAGCAGAAAAATGAATTTTAATTTTAATCAATTAATGAGCCCATTAGAAGTTAAGGGTCACAAACGAGTTGATCAGTCGGGTCCAAGTCCAAGCTAAAATTGATTCAATGTGAACCCAGTCCATTTAATAAATTGGCCAAAAAAATCAACCCCAACCCACTAGCAACCTGAATGATGCGAACCCGACTCATTAAACTATTTTGATTAAAATAAAAATATAATTTATTAACAATAAGATTTATGATATTTGATAAAAAAATAAGAATATTATACACACAAATAAAAAAATTCAGGAAAAAAAAATAATAAAAGGTCATTTTCGGATCAAAAGTAAGTACGGGTGATTTATTGACACCCTATTAGAAGTAAGCGTTAAGTTGGATATTTTTATAAATATTTGGCAAAATGGTAAATTAATAGTCAGCATTTCCGCCCCCGATTTTCATCCAATAATCAACAATCTTACTTGAAAATACATCTGATAAACAAACAGAAAGCAATACTTAACGAGCTATATAGCCTATAGACTTTACCAATTCAGAAACATAATTAGAGTCAGGCTTCGACTGAACGTCGAACTCTCTCTCAGCCATAGCTTTTCTCTCTTCCTTCTCTTTAACTATGTTTCTCATTTGTTCGAGCTTTAATTTGGATCTCTACTTATACCGAAACGGGCTGCTGTGCTGCCGAGGGGTTGTGATATTCTTATATCGGAGGTCTGCTGTGCTGCCGAGGCATTCTCGGATTCGTGTTTTGGTCGGCTGCATTTTCGTTCCTTATCAAAAAAAGGGTAAATTATTTGGGCACTTTATTGTATTCAATTTCCTCGAAAGACACCTCTCCTTGTTCAATTTAAGAAGCTATTGAAACGAAGTCATTTGAGTATTGAGATTGTTCTAGAGACTTTAAGAAAATAACTGAGTCGGTTATAGATAAAGGGAAGGCGTGTCAGCTTCAACTCTGAGGGATTTCTCTCCAGACATTTGCAGTGCGACTTCCAACATACCAAAATAGTTGTTTGAAATGGCTCTTTTGAAAAGCATCGAAGAAATATCTTTTTGAAGTCGGTTAACTAATGTTGTCCACTTCTGTCATGAAAGAATAAGTATAAAATGGAGAAATTTGACTTCAATCATCAATTTTTTTGGATGAGAATATCTTTTGCTGAAGCTACTGGATATTTTTGCCAAGAAGTCACGGCTGCCAAAAGACGAGATTGTTATTAGTAGAACATACATGGAGTTGATTAAGTTTGTTAGGATATTGGTTCAGATTTTAGGTAGTTTTTATTATACTTTTTTTAGGTTCTGTTCTTGTATAGCTTAGTATTGTCATTGGTGTGTATCTTTGTGTGGTTATTTGGTTTCTATAAATAGTTGCATTAGGTTGCAATAAGAGCACTCCAAGTCAATAAGCTAAGTAATAAATTTAAGTTCAGTTTTTTTTTACTCTCTCCCATTCTTCCCTCCCTCTCTCTCTCTCTTTCAAGAAGCTCAAGGAGATTCATCTTCCTCCTTAAGAATTCCCCAACAAACTGGTATCATAGCAAGATAGAGACTGTCACGCAGGTGGAAGTTTCTTCTAATCAAGAAAAGAAATAGGGAGGATGGAGTCTTGCGCGTGAGGATGGGCGTTGAACCAAAGCGTGCACGTGGATTGGTGCTACTGGTCAAACGTCATGTTCGAGCAGAGCGGAGGTCTTGTAGCATGGAAGGTGCTTCTTTTATTAAAAAAAGGGAGTGGGAGCGAAAGGAAGGTGGATCGGGCCTGTGCCTAATGTGGGACAAACGTGGTTTCGTGAGGCTGTGTTGGGACACAGAGGTGTGTTGTCGTGCAGGTGTTGTGCGAGGAAGGAAGAAGAACAAACCGCACGTTCGATGGACAAAAAGCCACGCATAGGCTAAAGACGTAGGGTGCGTGGGGCGTCAAATGTGCACGATTCACTAGAACGCCAGGGCACGATGGATCACGATCGTGGGAGTTAACGCTCAATCACAGTGTCGCACACGAGACACAAGATGGTCGCGAGACTCTTACAAAGCACGGGATCAGAGCAAGTGCGGGGCAGATGCGCGTAGGGAGGACATGTGGGGTGCATGAGCGCAAAGCAGAGGTGAGGCCGTCAGTCGTAGGAGACTGGACCAACTGGGAGCTCGGTACGTGCCATTTTCCCGTTGGTAGGTGCAAGTGCCATTTTCAAGCAGGAGTGCAATCGGGCTGCAATTCTTGATTAATGATATTTTTTATGTTTTTTGAGGATGATCATTAGCAGCTGCAGTTCATATCATATCGATGCAAAGATTTAAAATCGTGAAGTTTAATGGGGAGAATGATTTCAGCCTATGGAAGATTAAGATGAAAGTTTTACTGGTTCATCAAGGCATTCCCGATGCCATTTTTTAAGAGAATCTTTCTGTAATTACTAATAGGGTCAGGGCTAGAGAAATACAACTGAAGGCATACAATACCATTCCCCTTTCTCTTGATGATGAAGTGTGAGACAGAGGTTGCTGAAGAAGGCTTGGCATATTAGAGGTATGGTTGAAGCTTAAATCAATCTATATGAAAAGATCACTTACTAATCGACTATTTTTGAAGAAACAATTTTACACGCTCCAAATGGAAGAAGCAAAGGAGCTTAGAAAACATTTGGATGATTTTAATTAATTTATTCTTGATCTCAAGAATGTTTATGTGACAAAAAGACAAAGAAGATCAAAGAATTATACTCCTCAGCTCTTTGCTAAAGGCATATGAGCACATAGTTCACACTATATTGTATGGGAAACTAACATTGACAATGGCAGAGGTAAACTTTGTCTTGATATGAAAGGATTTTCAGAAAAATAAATGATCAAAAAGAAGAAAATACTAGCAATATTATGATTACAATAGTAAGACCATAGTTCAGAGGAAACAAATTCAGTAAGAAGTGCTTCTATTGCCATAAAGAAGGCCATTTCAAGAGATTTGTCCTGATTTGTTAAAACTGCAAGGAGCTAGGCTCAAAGCATACATCAGCTTAGCAATGGAGCAGATTTGGGGGAAGGATGGACTGAATCGGAAGTTTTATAAAATATGGACATAGATAGAGATTGTTAGGATATCTGTCCATATTTTAGGTAGTTTTTATTATACTTTCTTTAGGTTCTTATATAGCTTAGTATTGCCATTAGTGTGTAGCTTTGGGTAGCCATTTGGTGTCTATAAATAGTTGCATTAGGTTATAATAAGAGCACTCCAAGCCAATAAGCTAAGTAATAAAATTTTTGTTCATTTTTTCTCTCTTCCATTCTTCCCTCCCTCTCTCTCTCTCTCTACCAAGAAGCTCAAGGAGCTTCATCTTCCTCATCAAGAATTCCCCATCAGATTCAAAACAATTATTAGCTAGCAGGGAGTTTGTACTGAAGCAACTTGTTGATACCAGAGAGATATCCAATGAAATCTCTGTTAATCACTTATTGCCATTTTTCCTTTGTTCTTTTTTATCTTTTGAAGGGTCTTCATGTCACCCACTATAAAATTTGAATGGCAAATATAATTCTTATATAATGAAATCCATATTTAGCATTTTCAATTAGTTGATGTGACTAATTTTATTTTTTTATTATTTTAATAGATAATAATTATTATTGTGAATTCAAAAATTATAAATTTAAAATTCAAATATTTCAACAACAATCTTTATCTCACCACGTGGGGTGATTGCATGAATTCTCTATGGCATTATATTAAGTGTCAAATTCTCATTTAAATTTAATAAAAAAGATCATTTCTAATGCTTTCTACTAAGTCATTTTAGATCTACATGTACTTTTCTTAGCATAGACTAAATCTAATACATCTACTCTATTACAATCAAGGAGCCTAACCTTGAGTTTATTTTTAAAAACTTTATTGAATGTTTATCTTTTTATTCCTACTTTATATTATATATTTTTTCTATGTGGGACTAACTTTTTAGGTACAACATACACCAATCAAAAATAAATAATCCAAGCTCAAGATAATGTAGCATTAGTGTATAAGTTAGTCTGTGTTTGACAAAGTCTGTACTTTTAATTCTTTGAAGACTCCCACACCCAATCCTCCCATCCGTTCTAAAACCCTTATTTCCTATCGATCTCCATCGACTTACAACCAACTCATCGTCCTGCTCATGTTTGCAAACCGACCATCCGACTCCCTATTCCAGCACCTCCCATCTGATCCCCTCAACCACAAGCAGCTTCGATTCTCCTCTCCTAGTTTCTTCCTACCCGAACACCCAACACCATACGTGAAGAACCCCATCCTCACGCTGACCCAACCCGTCACCTGACTCCCTGTTCGAACACTCACGTCGATCCAGCTGAACACTCACAAAGTATGTTCCCCACTGCTACATCCCACCTACCCACCTCATACAACCACAATTGAACTCCTCCACCTCCATTAGCTTTAGCCTAACTGCCATTAGTTTTATTTTAACCAGCTGTCACCTTCTCACCTTATCACCTCCAACATCACCTTCCAGCAGGTCCACGTGAAGATCTCTCAGTCGCCTACTTACCTACTCATAAACTACAAGCTATAGATTCCACTCTTCCGTATCCCCTCTGCCCTCTTTAGTCTCTAATTCAACTATCTCTAGTATTACAAAGCTCCAATCATAAAAGACAACATCCCAAATTCACTAAATATAGCCCACCATGAAAAATTCCTCTCTTCAACCATTATTATTATTAAGAAAGAGAAGAAGAAATATAAAAAGGGAGAGAAAAGAATAAGATAGTTTGTGTATTTTTGTCATCATCGCCCCAACACCATCACCACCGTCCCTCGCACAAGGTATAACGTTTTCCAAACTTTAAAAAACTCCCGAATCCCATTTTTGATGATTGCGGCACAACGAGCATATGTTTATAAAATTTTATATCTTTATGCATACTCTTACTTGAATGTAGTAAATATATTCTTGGTAAATCATACCATGTTTGTTTATTACAATGTATAATACTCATGTTATATATCATGTCGGTTATATAAATTATGATTATCATATTGAGTTATATAACACCTATTCTTTATTTGTAATAATACTTGCACTGTATGATTTGGGTGTATGTCGGTAGATTGATCTTTATTTATTTATTTTTTTTGCTAGCTACGGTTGACATGCCCCCATAGTGGCAACTAGAAATCATTAGATTTTTTTGGATTGGTTTTTACCTTCCCGGTATAGGTATATGTTAAACTGACAATAAATATATATGTATAAATGTAAGAAAGTATAATTGAATATGAATTGAAAACAAGAAAATGACTTACAGGTCATTATGAGGTATATAGATACCTAGTGGGATGCATTTGTAAACATTGTAATAATTTGACATCAATAGCTAATTGATATATATACATGCATATTAGAAGATGTTATAGAAAACATAGAATATCTCATTACAATGTTTTTTGATATAGTGAATATAGATTACTACTTCCCTCTTTTGGTTGTTCATATTGTATGCCCATTTATTTGTCATTTATGTTTTGATAGATAGAAGTTACTTGCTAAGTTTGATAAATCGAACTCTCCCGTTGTCATTCTCAAAAG